GGTGGAGCGATCATGAATGGGATTAGTTTCCTTATAAGAGTTGGAGAGAGCTTGCTTCCTCTCTCTTCCATGTGAGGACACAGTGAGAAGACTGTCCTCTATGAACAAAAAAATGGGCCCTACCAGATATCATATCTGCTGGCGCCTTGATCTTGGACTTCCCAGCCACCAGAACTGTGAGAAATAAATGTTGTTTAAGCCACCCAGTCTATGGTACTTTGTTATAGCAGTCTGAATGGACCAAGACAGTCTCCAAGATAAGTAGGAGTTTGCCAAGGCAGGAAGGGACATTCTAGAAAGTGGGCAATGACATGTGCAGAGGCATGGGAGCTGGGAAGCTCTGGACACATCCAGGAAGGGGCAGGCCAGTATGACTCAAATGTTCAAGTGTGGCAGGAGACAGGCTGATGTGGTTGGCTGAAGCTAGATTGCAATGAGCTAAGGTGGTGGTTTCAAAATTTTGACCACAAGCCACAGTAAAAAAAAAAAAAATAATAATAATAATAACAACAGTAATGTTAATACAAAATGACACACTTCATATGTTCACATATAGCTATATTTAAGTTACGTGAAACACTACTGCATGCAATAAACTCTATTTTCTCTTCCATTCTTTTCTTTTTTAAAACACTGGTTGTGGGCCAGCCCGTGGCTCACTTGGTAGAGTGCGGTGCTGATAACACCAAGGCCGCGGGTTTGGATCCCATATAGGGATGGCCGGTTTGCTCACTGGCTGAGCATGGTGCTGACAACACCAAGCCAAGGGTTGAGATCCCCTTACCTGTCATCTTTAAAAAAAAAAACACTGGTTGTAATATACCAATTTGATTTCATTATCCACTAATGTGGTTATACCCATCATTTGAAAAACTCAGGGATAAGACATGTGATCTTTATTCTGTAGGCACGGATGAGCCACAGAAGGATTATGAGCAAAGGACTAATGTGATCAAATACGTATTTTTTAAATTAACCTTGGCAGCAGGGTAGAGGATTGAGGGGAGGCAGGGCATGGCATATCCTCCAATATACCCCCACCCCAACACACACACATTTACACCACATCCTTGGGTCACAACAACAGCAAAGACAAGAATGCTCAGAATGTGGGCAATAGGGCAGAAGCAAGCAGAACACCCTCCCACCTATAACTCACGGTTGCAGCTCTTGCCATCTGCCTGCAGTTGCCGCCCCTCAGGGCACAGGCAGCGGTAGGAGAGGCCCTCACTCACACATTGGAATTCACAGCCATGGTCCACACCATTGCAAATGTCCCGGACTGAAAGAAGAGACCGGTCAGGGTGGACCCCACCAGCTAAGCTTCCCTACCCCTCTGCACAAATGTAGGAGACCCCGCCTCACTCTGACAGCTCCTCCCATCGGGCAGCAAGTCATGGCCCTCTCTGCAGCTGCACTGTGGCCCACCAAGGGTACTAACACACTCATGCTGGCAGCTGTGGTTCCCGAAGCTGCAGTGGTCAATGGCTGGTGGGAAGGAAGAAACAGCAAGATGTCACCTTTGATTGGAGCCATCAGAGGCCTCAGTCCAGGGTGCTGGTTTTGCAGGGTGAGGGAGCTTACTCACCCCTGCAGCTCCTCTTGTCTTGCTGCAGTATAAAGCCAGCTTGGCAGTGACAGAAATAGAAGCCCGGGGAATTGACGCAGTGGTGCTCACAGCCATGGGTCCCTTCAGCACACAGGTCAATGGCTGAAGAAGAGATGAAATCGGTCTATGCCCAGGGCTGTACTTCTCAGCCCTGGCAGAGCAACCACTCAAGGAGCTTTTTTAAAAATACCTATGCCTGGGCCCAAACCCAAATATCCTGACTTAATTCATCTGCAGTGGTACCCATCCATCTGTAATTTCCATAAGCATAAGCCTTCTTCCTGTGGGGCCAGGTGACCCTCCCAACTCAAACCCTAGGTGCATCCGAGAGCCAACATGCCCACTACTGAGCCAGGCATAAGAACGAGAACGTGCAGTTGTAGGGCCCCTGTTCTCCAGATGCTCACTGACTTACAGGGCAGGACCAGTCTCAGCCACTTTACCTATCTGAGCCTCCATTTC